AGGAGAACAGGGAGGTTGCATTTGAGACGGTGAGGGCGAAAAACACTGAGGGGCGATGCTCAGGCAAATTTCAAAAATTTGCCTGAGTATCGCCCTGCAGCGTTTTCGCGATATGCCTTTAGCTCGGCGCAGTCCTGGTGCCAGCATCCCTCAGGGCTGGAAAAGGGTGAGGGCGAAAAACATTGAGGGGCGATGCTCAGGCAAATTTCAAAAATTTGCCTGAGTATCGCCCTGCAGCGTTTTCGCGATATGCCTTTAGCCCTGTAACCCCTTAGCCTTATAGCACCATCGCCTTGTAGACTATTGCCTTATTGCCCATAGGTCGGCGCAGTCCTGGTGCAGGCGTCCCTGAGGCCTGCAAAAGGGTGAGGGCGAAAAACACTGAGGGGCGATGCTCAGGCAAATTTCAAAAATTTGCCTGAGTATCGCCCTGCAGCGTTTTCGCGATATGCCTTTAGCCCTGTAACCCCTTAGCCTTATAGCACCATCGCCTATTGCCTTATTGTCCTCGAGGTCGGCGCAGTCCTGGTGCCAGCATCCCTCAGGGCTGGAAAAGGGTGAGGGCGAAAAACACTGAGGGGCGATGCTCAGGCAAATTTCAAAAATTTGCCTGAGTATCGCCCTGCAGCGTTTTCGCGATATGCCTTGTAGCCCGGTAACCTCCTCTTCCTCATCCCTCCTCCTCCTCCTTCCTCCTCCTCCTCCTTCCTCCCCTCCTCCTCCTCCCCTCCCTCCCCCTCCACCCTCCTGCTCCTCCTCCTCCTCTCCTCACTCCTCCTCCTCCTCCTCCTCTCCTCCTCCTCTTCCTCCTCCTTCTCCTCCTCCTCCTCCTCCTCCTCCTCCAAGAGGTGCAGCAGCCCGGCAGCCCCGCGGCCCAGCAGCCCGGCAGCCCCGCGGCCCAGCAGCCCAGCGAGGCGCAGCAGCCCAGCGCAGAGCAGCAGCCCCGCGAGGCGCAGCAGCCCAGCGAGGCGCAGCAGCCCAGCGCAGAGCAGCAGCTCGGCGAGGCGCAGCGGCCTGGCGAGGCGCAGCAGCCCAGCGCAGCGGCGCAGCTCGGCGAGGAGTTCAGCAGGCTTCTACTCCTGCTCATACAGTCAGCCTGCATAGTAAGGATGGGCAACCTTCCCAATGGCCCCAAGGTGCCCTTGCATCGTTGCCCCATTCGGCCCTTCCTTACCGACGTTCTCTGGCCAGCCTCCTTCGAGAAACGTGAACGTGGGCCTCCAAGGCCCTTGCGTCTTGCATCCTTACCACGCATCCTTACGATGCGGATTAGCATCGCCCCTTGCACATCCTTCTCCCCTTGTTGTTCTGATTCCTCCGTCTTCTCCTTCTCCTAGGCAGCGCTCGGCCTGAGTGGGCCCAGCGCCCGTCGGCACGCTCGGCGAGACGGTCCTGTTCAGCGAGACGCCTGAGCAGATCCGACCGCCATCCCATCGTCGTTGTCATCGCCGACGTCGTCGTTATCGGACTCGTCGTCGGCATCGTCATCACCGCCTCGATCGACGTCGTCATCGTCGTCGTCCGTGTTCTCATCGTCGTGGCCCATCGCCGTCATCGCCGTGGCCCGCGGTCGTCGTTGCCCTTTCCGCTTCCGTATTCAGCATCGTCGTGCGTCGTTATTTGTTCGCGATCGTTCGGGCTCGTTCGTCGTTCGTCGTCGCCTCAGTCTTCGGCGTCGTCATCTCGCTCCGTGGTGATCTGCGTTCGTCGTTAGCCCGTTTTCGTCGCCGATCGCGGTCCGCCGTCGATGTCGTCGGCGTCACCCAGCCCGTTTGGCCTTTCGCGCTCGTGTCTGAGATGTGCAGGGAGAGGATGATGATGAGGAGGAGGTGGGGAGGGGGGAGGAGGGGGGGAGCAGGAGGAGGAGGGGGGGGGAGGAGGAGGGGGAGGAGGAGGAAGAGCAGGAGGATGACGAGGAGGAGGAGGAGGAGGAGGAGGAGGAGGGGGAGGAGGAGGAGGAGGCGGAAGCCTTGGTCGGGGTCGGGCCTTGGGCGGGCCTTGGTCGGGCCTTGGTCGGGCCTTGGTCGGGCCTTGGTCGGGCCTTGGTCGGGCTTGGTCGGGCCTTGGTCGGGGGTCTTGGTCGGGCCTTGGTCGGCCTTGGTCGGGCTTGGTCGGGCCTTGGTCGGGCCTTGGTCGGGCCTTGGTCGGGGCCTTGGTCGGGCCTTGGTCGGGCCTTGGTCGGGCCTTGGTCGGGCCTTGGTCGGGGCCTTGGTCGGGCCTTGGTCGGGCCTTGGTCGGGCCTTGGTCGGGCCTTGGTCGGGCCTTGGTCGGGCCTTGGTCGGGCCTTGGTCGGGCCTTGGTCGGGCCTTGGTCGGGCCTTGGTCGGGCCTTGGTCGGGCCTTGGTCGGGGCCTTGGTCGGGCCGTGGTCGGGGCCTTGTTCGGGCCGTGGTCGGGCCGTGGTCGGGGCCTTGTTCGGGCCGTGGTCGGGGCGTGGCATCGTTCGGGGCCTGGTCGGCATGACGTCGGTGGGGCCTCAATCGGCCCTTGGCCTCAGTCGGG